TTGGTTGACAAGGAATATGTTGGTCACTGTACAGTGGGTGGGGAGATCAGCAAATACCTTGTCAGATGTGTTAGCTAAGCAAGGGGTAAATAGGGAAGAATTATTTTGGGCTCAGTTGTGATTCTTGTTTTTCTTTCCTATTTTACTTGTAAGTTTCAAGGAGGGGCTGCAGCTTGCGCCTCTCACTGGGATGATGTATGAACTCACTCTAGTTGTCTCAAATAAAAAAAGGAGTAACAAACACAAGAAACTGAAGTGCTTGCTTGTTAAAGTTCCTCTCTTGAACTTGAGCAATCATTTTTGGAAGAAAGGGAGTGGAACCATTTGCATTCCAATTGCAAATTTTATGTGTAATTTTTCATTTTCTTCTTGGTCCCAAAACAAGGTCTCCACCCTTCTTCTTGGGTTAAAACAGGGGCACTGTCCCTTATTTGGTACCAAAATAGGGGCTCCACCCTATCTTAGTTATTTAATTAATGTATTTTCTGAAATCTGTAGTATAAATTCTCTGAATTTTACCTTACTAATAAGAATTCAACTCTCATATTTTCTTGTGAAATGCAAAATAATAAATWACTTAGGACTTAAGGCTTTTTTGTTAAATTTTTTACTTTCAAAAGTCAATGCCTAGGCCAGTTCCCAGGCACCTAGGTCTCCCTGGTTTCCTTTGTCGGTCATGTGTTAATAAAGATACTAACCTCCTATGGCATAGAAACAAGGCGAGAACAGAATATGGGCAAGGTACTAGTGGATACATAATTTCCACGAAAAATTGAAGTGTCCATGTCTGACATAGAAATGACTCCCATGTTAATTGCCAACAGAACACAGATGTTCACCCATAAATGGGTTATACGTAGTATCTATGAAATTGGTGGAATTTGGAAGTGTGTTTCTGTGTAATACTTTATGAACTCTTACTCAGATGTTGATTGTGATGCATACTTGCTGCTTATCTAGTTGTGCAACTATGCTTAAATGTCACATGAACTGATGGGGCTATTTTTTCTGTTAATGGTGTTGTGTACTGCTTTATGCACCTTTTTACATATGTTGGTTGTGATACTAACTTGCTATCTGTATTTCTGCTTTAATTGGGAGAGATTGAGGGTAGGGTGTCAATGGACCAGTTTTGGGTTGGAACCTGTCCAAATCAAAGTCAATTTGGACGGATTGGATGGGCTGATAAGACATATTCAATTGGACCAGTCCAGACTTAATGGTCCAAAGTAGCTATTGGATTGGATTGGATTGGACCTTGGTCCGTATGTAAAGGATTTATATTGGATTAGCTCTGATTGAATCAATATCCAGTCCATTGATAGAAGATAAAAATACAAGTGTCAATGGACCAGGTTTAGGTTGGAACAATCTAAATTAAAACCATTTTGAACAGATTGGACGGTCCAGACATTGAATTGGACTGCTCTAAAACGGTCCAGAGTATTCATCGGACTGGATTGGACCTGGTCCATCTGTAATGGACTCATATTGGACTGGACCAAATCCGGTCCAATTGACATCCCTAATCGAGGGTTTACATTTTCTACTTTTCCCCCCTTCTTCTTCTTCCATTAATGATCAGATATTCATGAGGGCTTACTTTTTTGCTTTTGCTCTTCAGGCTGGAGATGCTTTAATACAGTTGTATCATAATTTTATCACTGACTTTGAGACAAAGATCAATCTGCTCAAGCTTGCCCATTTTGCTGTAATAGTTTCTCGGCAATATCCTGAAAAAGAAGCTGCTATTGTTTATCTTGAGGGAGTGATTGATAAACTTCGAGCTACAAGGGAATTACGTATAGAGGAGCCGATCCTTTATGTCAAGATGCAGATTGCTGCTTTCAAACTTGAGCAAGGGGACCAAAAAGAGTGCAAGAAACTGTTGGAAGATGGGAAGACTACACTTGATGGCATGACTGATATTGATCCATCAGTATATGCAAGCTATTACTGGGTTTTATCTCAGTACCATAAATCTCGTCAGGAATTTGCAGAATTCTATAAAAGTGCACTTCTTTATCTGGCATACACATCAGTGGAGTCCCTTTCAGAAACGTTCAAGCTGGTACATTTTTTTTAGTTAGTGCTATGCAAATGTGAAATCCAGAATGTTTATAGTCAAATACTCAAAAGTTCTTATTACCTTAGTTATCATCATCGCAATCATTTTTTTTATGGTAATAGTAAAAAATTTATAAGAAAATAAAAAGGGAAGAGAGGAATTTGCAGCCCAAGCAAAAATGGTGGAGCCAGTCCTTGATATACAAATATATACACCTCCCGACCCCACCTGGAAATAAAAATAAAATCAATAAAGTCATGACAGAAATAGATGTGCATGTGTCCCAAATAGATTGCCAAGCCATCTGAATGCATCAAACAACCAAACCAGGAGTTCCATCCACTTCAAACTCTGCTTTTGTCTTTCATCATTATTATTATTATTGTTGTTATTGTTATTGATAGTAAAGTAAAAAATTTACAATCAGAAAAAGAGAGAGAGGGTATACAAGTCATGAACTGGCTTTGTGGCCTAGGCACCTCACAGATACAACCACACAGCAATGGCACCAAAAACAAAATGCAGAAATCAAAAAGGAAACACCACCTACAAGTATGTGTCAAAGACCATTATAAACCCACCACTACAAGCAAGCTGGACCTTACACAATGCCAACCAACCTAGAAACAAACAGAACATACCAACCCCGAGAGCTTAGTCTATAAACATCTACCTATACACCAAAAGACAACTGTCCCACAAAAAGCTCTAATTATCAATGTTTTAAAACGTGAAGGTGTGACATGAGGCATACCACTACCCTTAGGCATGTGGTGTAGTTCAGATTTCGGAATGCAAGAGATAAACCTCCTCATGCAAAAGACATTTGAAGGGTATGCCTTAGAGACATCTTTATGCCTCAGGGTGTTTTGAGTGTGCCTTGCTTGGAGGTGTGCCTCTAGGTGTATGCCTCAAATGCCTTCGAAAGCATTGCTACTAATCTTACAAAACATTGTTCAGATGTTGGCATGTTCTAATAGCAAAATGCTGAGTAGCATTAATATGAACATAGGAATGTAGATAATGTATGCTTCTTTCATTTTTTTTCCTTTGTAACGGAGTAGTAACATGTAGGACAGCTGAGATGAATGAAGTAATCATGGGATCAATGGTTCTGATTACTTTCTCTTTTTATGAGTCCAATAACAAATTATAACTTATGATTCCCAAGTTTCCAGATAACTGCTAACAGCCCCTTCCTTTTAAATTGTTGGTTTTGAAATTGATTTAATATTCTTTAGATCTACATTTCAGAAGTAGTTATGTTTAATATTAGGTTCTGTTTTTTGTTTTCCAAAGATTCATGCACAGGGGGACCTGGTTTCTTTTTGTGATTGCACTTTTTTTAATTAATATTGTTGTTATCTTATTTCAGGATTTGGCATTTGATTTGTCCCTTTCAGCTCTGCTTGGAGATAACATCTACAACTTTGGAGAATTGCTTGCACATCCAATCGTAAGAGCATTTCCATATAAATTGTTACATTTTGACCTTTTTATGGCTTCAGGGGTTGTTATGTTGACTGCAGTGATTTTATTTTCTTTGTTTTAGAAACTTCTTTCTTGCATTTTGTTGTAAAATTATGGTTTTTATTTCAAGAACTAGTAAGAACTTAATTGATTATAAAGTGTAGTTTCTATTTACAATTGAGTTATTGCATTGTACCATATTAACATATTTACAATTGAGTTAACTCATTGCTGCTCCACCATAGCTCTTCAGAGAGCCCTAATGCCAAAATTTCTTTTCTTGTTCTAATCCAGTTGAAAATTATCTTTTTTTTTTCCCCATGCCAAAAGTTTCTGTTGTGGTTTTTCAATTAGGAAACAGCTAGGGTCATTTTAGTATTACATGGTCACTGGTGAAAAGAAATTGGATGTATCCTGATAACATAGGAAAGGCTTCTGTAATTGATTTCCTTATTTGCATTCATAATTTAAAAAATTATATACTTCCATTTCCATAGGTGCTGATATGAAATATTACTGAAATATATCTCGACATATTACTCTGTGCTAAAAGTCTTTTATATTGTTTTCAACAAATTTTATTTTGTTAACTATATTAATTTAAGGTTTCAATTTATATGTAAGCAATTATCATTTAAATAATTTGTTTTGATATGATACTTTTTCTTTTAAAACACTATTTTTAAGCTTATCAGTATACATTTTTTTTTAAATATTCTTTATGAAATATATTAAACTATACATTATTTAATAGTATTTTAAACTCTTATAGCATAAGAAGCATGCTCATATGTAATAAAATAATATTTATATCTAAAATAGCAACAATTTGTATGATATAATAATTAAATTTATTCTAAATAGAAGAAGTTGGTATTATAAACCAAGTTGGGCCCCCCTCCTCAAGGTTCAATGAGGCTGAATTTTGATGGGACTAGCCAGGGCAACCCGGGGCCCTCTGTGTTGGGAGGTGTTCTGAGAGGCTGGAGAGGTTGTTCTACTCTACTCTGGCCCATTAGGTGTTGGGAACTCTGTTCAGGCAGAATTGTTAGCTGCAATACAAGGAGTACTTCTCGCAAAAGAATTGGGTGTGGAGCAGCTGCTGATTGAAGGGGACTCTAAGATAGTGGTGGATTGGTTAAATAATCCGGAGGATGTCGTGTGGGATTACAGAAGTGAGCTAAAGAAATTCATATGGCTGACAAGGAATATGTCTGTAACAATACAGTGGGTGTGGAGATCAGCTAATGCATTTGCTGATGTCTTGGCAAAACAAGGGACAAATAGGGAAACCTTATTCTGGGTTCAACTGTAATTTTGTATTAGCACTCTTGTACTTTTTGCTTTAACTGTATTCTGTTTGGAGAGAGCATGTCATGCCTTTCTAAGGGACTGTTCATGTAATCTGTCTTTGAGTTAATGGAAATGTGATATTTTATCTATCAACAAAAGTGGATATTATAAACTAAATTATTCATTTTGTGGGCTTATAATATTTTAATAATTCATATTACTAGTTTCTTTTTATCATTTCCTTATTTATCAGGGATACATAAGTCGGTGGACACTACCTTGAACCCTTGAAGACTTCAAAACCAGAACTGAAAAGAAAGGAAGAACTCGAAAGTTTTATTTGATCAACATATGTATTTTCCTTTTTTTCTAAGACAATCTTCTTCTTCCACCCCCTTTTTTTTCTTGGGACAAAAACAGGGGCTCTACCCTATAGTTTTCTGAGATTTCTTACCTCATGAATATGTTAATTTTTTGATCGATCATGAATATGTTAATTTTCTATGCTTTGATATGAATTTTATGCTTATTTAGTGAAGATTATTGGTAATTATAAGTGAAAGGTGATTTGCTGGATTCTATTAAACCTAGGGTATTACCCTAATACCTTTTTTTTTTTAATTTTTTCTTTATTTTTTTTAAATCCATTGCCTAGGCGGGCACCTATTTGCCATGTTGCCTAACTTCACAAAGGTGCTTTGGCAACTATGTTATGGAATTGGCTGCTGTTTGTCTTATGTTGGACTATTTTGAAGGAGTTACTTGATGAAATTTTGAGGATAAAGTAGTTCTACTGGAAAGTGGTGGGGTGGGCAATATTTGTAGTCTTGAATTCTTGTAGAGTTTGTAGGGGTAAAGAATGACACATTCTAARATCCTTAGAGTGTTAGATTACAACACACTCTTGGTTAGTTGGTTGTAATGTGGATAACTGATCAATAGTGTATTTGGGTGTGCCATATGCCTCTTGGAGGAAATCTGAGGTGTGTGAGCTTCTGGGACGCTGGGACCTGGTCATAGAAAAGTGTAAGGAGAGACTGCCTTAATGAAAGAAAAACTACATTTCAAAAGGTGGTGGATTAACCTTGAGCAAGTCAGCTCTATCAAACCTTCCTTCTTTTGAGGGAAAGATAAAGTATTTCATTAAAGAAACAAAGCCTGTACAAAGCCTTGCACATTAAGGTACTGGGCAAGGCAGGTATTTTCTTTGTACAACCCAAATACCACTTTGATTAATTGCATACAAAAAGATAACTGAGATAAAAAAATAGCTATAAGGTTTTGAGGGAACATCTTGCTAAACAAGGGGCTTTGAGGCAACAATTGTTTTGGGCTGCAATGTAAAGTGGGACAGAAATATGTAGTAGTGTGGGAGTTTAATCCCATACACAAAGCTGTAAAACCTTATTTTAATTTTTAATCCTAACTTCAAATAAAATTCTCTTTTGCTGATAAAAAAAGGTTTTGAGGGAACATCTGTACTGGGAAACATTGTAATGTTTTTGGTGTAGCTTTTACACTTTAATATCAAAGGAGGTTGCACCTCGTGCCTCTCCTCGGGGTACTTGTAACATTTCTGATATATCATTAATAAATCCTTTTTCAGTTATCAAAAAAAARAAAAGAAAAACATAGTATTGCTGTCCATGAGTATATCCTTCCCCAGCTACTGTATTTACTGTAATGAAATTGTTTTCAAAAAAACCTCCTATTTCTTTCTATCCAGATTGACCACAGCACTGTTGCTGGAACTATCTCCCCAATAAAATCTTTCCTTGATAAACCACACACATTCCAACTCCATAGTAATGTCAACAGGTCTCTTGGGAAACAGAAATGTACTCCAAACATCAAGATTTCATCCATATCTCCCATGCAAAACTGCAGTAAATGAAAGGATGCTCCACCCCCTCAGAATTTTCTCCACACATCACACATCTGCTAGGTTCCACCGCCATCCTTCTCTTTGATAAGGTGCTAGCTGTTAAGCACTTCCCCTAAACTGCCACCCACATAAAAAAGAATCTTTGAAGTGAGCTGCTGATCTCCAGATCCTGTTTTCAGGAAAACTTTCCTCATCATTGCACAATCTGTTATAAAAGGATTTGACTGAAAATTCCTGATTTCTCCCCCATCCAAATTAATCTATCTAACCTTCCAATCACGTTTTGGTATTTTGCATTCCTGCTAATGTGAAGGGCTGATTTAAAAAGCTGCAATGGGACTTATTGTGGGAAGGTGATAGTGCGAGAAGAAACCATTTGGTGAAGTGGGACTTGTTGTGTTTACCGATAAAAAAATAAGTGGGAAAAGGTGTGTAAGCAAAAGGAAGCTGGTGGGCTGGGGATCAGGCATATCAAGGAAAGGAATTTAGCTCTGTTGGGAAAATGGCTTTGGAGATTGAAGGTTCCCCATTAAAACAAATGCTCTGTGGGCTGTGGTGATCATAAATATGGGAGGGATGCCAATGGTTGGGAATACAATCACCACTTGGACTGGGTCAAATACACCAACCTATGGAAAGGCATCCCTCAAACCTATAACCTTTCATCAATTTCACTAGATTCCAAGTGGGTAAAGGTAATAAAATCAAGTTGTGGACTGGCCTTTGGTGGTGGGGTGAGAGAACTTTGGCTGTATCTTTTCCCCATATCTTAAGCTTGTTTCTAAACAAAAATACTGCTATTTCCTCCTGCATAACCCCTTTTGTTCAAGGCAACTTGTGGAATTTAGCTCTTAGAAGACCCTTTAGGAACCATGAAATCACTGGAGTTGCCACCTTCCTAGATTCTCTCAAGGAAATTTATATTTCTCCTTCTTGTGACCTCATAATCTGGAAGGTCCACCCTAAATTTACTACCAACTCTTTCTTCAAGATTCTTGTTTCAGGCCCACATGATTCTATGTTTCAGGACAAGAAGGTATGGAACCCCGTTATCCCCTGATAGTGTCCTTTTTTGTTTGGGAGGTGTGTTCTAAGGAGAACCAATACTTCTGATCTGCTGCAAAGGAAGAACTTGGATAGATTGTGGATTCCCCCTCAGGTCTTTATCATGGCTTGCAGGACACTGGATTTGCAAACCATCTTTTTCTTCAATGCCCGATTGCAAGATGCTTACGGAACTTCTTCCTAAACCTGATTGGTGGTAGCTGGGTAGCTTCTGAGCATATCCTTGATGTGATGTCTCAATGGCATTCTCAAGGTATAGGCATCGGGGGGGATCTTTTGACAATGAGGCTGCTGAATATGAAGATTTGAAAGCACACATAATCCACCTTTGCAATTCTTAGGCTCTTAATTCTGAAGCTTTTTGTGGAGTGTCCTTTGTGATCTCCAAAGAAATCTTGTTGCAATCCTATACACCTCCCCGGCACCTCATACTTCATAGATTCCTGTCAGTTCTGAGGAAGTTGAGATGAGGTATATATTTGATGGCAGTTGTTTTGGCAATCCTGGCGAGGCAGGTATTGGTGGGGTGCTTCTGCATAGGGTTTTATGGGCTTTCAGTGGGCCAATAGGTATTGCTGATTCCAAGATAGCTGAAGTCTTGGCTATCTTAACCGTTCTCCAGTTTGCTAAACAGATGGGTCTATCTTAACTATTGAGGGTGATTTGACAAGCACAGTTGGATGGCTGAGGGAGAGGAGTTGTGGCCCTTGGAGATTGGCTCATTTCTTGGACGAAGCCAGATGGATTCCCAGGGAACTTAACAGGCTGGCTGATGGGTTAGGTGGTTAGCTAAAGCGGTGTGCATAGGCATGCTTTGTATGGTGCTACTATACTAACACGCTGCCCATGTAAAGCTTTTTGATGTGGGCTTTTGTCTCTGTTGATTTGTATTTCCCCCATACATAATTTGTCTTTTCTATATTATAAATTCAACACATCGTAGTTACCTTTCTCTCAGAAAAAAAATAGTATGTATTTTTTTTGTAATTTACATGTATTTTCTTCCCTTTTATAGTAAAATACAGTTTTATGATGGAAAAAAAAGAAAAAGAAGATTAGTATTTATTTTTATCAATAACACTTTCATTAAATCATCAATAGAAGATTTACAA